AATTCATTACATTAATAGCCATATAAATGTACAGGCCTGAAGAGAATTTATCGAAAGCAGACGTATGCTCGCCGAATTGCCTATTTAATCTTTCAATGGCAATTTTTGTAACTCTACAAGAGTATAAACCTTGTCAATATATCCAATAATCAATATACATGAAAGCTTAAGTGCCTCGTGCTCTTAACTACCGGAAAATTATATTGCCAATTGACTATTTACATGAGGTTTCCTTTATGAAATGCTTCAGAATGACTATGTTAAGCAATTAAGTCTTTCTTGTTAGTTGGCGGTCAAACATCTTTATTCTGTCCACGGAAATTTGGAGTCGAAATCAAGGGTTTTTCGAGGCTGCAGGCTGCAAGCAAATGATGGCATACGGTAGTCTCAAAAGGCATTCATTTATAAAAATGGAATCCCATGGAGTTCCTGGTGAGTAATGTGCTTCAGTAATAGATTCCAGAAGTCGCTTTCAATTCCTAAAATTAAACATTTCTGTGCGAGGCACTGACATGTTATCCTTTGCGTTCTCGACAACTACGCAAACAACAAAAACAGACATCCCAAATTAACAGAAATTATGGAGTGATTTTTCGTCAATTTCCTCCGTCCCTACATGGAGCATGAATCTGAAATAAACAGACATCATAGACAATACTGCTGATACTTATTATCAGCTGTTTACTGGACAATTACAAGTATATGAGGGGGAAAATGGCAAGTATGACTTAAGTTTGTAAGGGGATCACTAGCAGTTTTGGCTAATTTGTCCCGGTCATAAAGTAGATGCATCAGTTTTCTAATGTTTTTCGAAGTTTTTTAAAATGTCATTGCCAGATGCCGCAATTGCATCTTAGCCTACGTCCTATTGTATCTTGAGTCTATTCAAAAAACTAAAAGATACTTGGGCTGACAGGGACAATTGGGTATTTGACAAAGTTGTTCTGGTTAAACAGATTGCAAGAAGGATTTCTGTAAAACGCAATGCTAAACTGTCCGCGAAGCATGACGTTGGTATATGGAGGGAGTATGTTAATTTCGCACTTGCTGATCAATGTGTACTTGCGAGCTCAAGATATGTGGAAATTGCAGTCTGTGACCGATCTCTTGGAGTCTTTCACCAGGACGGGGTTAATTGGAGATTTTACGATTTGGGGAGTTATTTATCCTGCCCAATTTCAAACACATGAATATCCTTTGCATTGTAAGATTTGCTAAATTCACAGTCCGGCAATGCCGGCTTTGCGGTTGTATCTGAACCGCATTTCGCTGTGAACTGCCTGCGTACGCATTTACTTAATACTGGGAATCCGAGCATACGCCTAAGAAATTAATTAAGCGTTTTTCTTCTACAAATTCTTCTGCGAGGTTTCACGGGGAGAATTCCCAGTATTTGCTCAGTTGTAATGCGGCCGGCACCATATCGCACGTACTGCTGCCCGCACTTGTAAAATGTCACCTAGATCAGAAATGGGATCGCAATACTGACAAGTAAGCGGCATAATCACTAGACACTTCAGTCACTGTCAGGCATTCGACATTGCAATGACAGTCTCCCTAGCAATCAGAATAATCACACTATCAAATATGAATTCCTAATTCATATGGTTTTTCCAATTGATATGTATGACCATAAAAAACAATATATATAAGCATCAGATACTCATACCTTCGCGCACCTTCCTCGTAGTGCATTACACATTCAAGCATATATCACGACGAAATACTGCCTTCCAGTTCCAAATTTTGAAATCCTTGGATGATTTTAGATCGTGTCGGACGCGCCACTAACCGGGAGGATTTGCGAAATGAAAATTCATTAATTCGTGTTTAAAAAGATGATTAACCTCTGTACGCTATTAAGCAGATCGCAAAAATGTCTTCAAACAGATTTCAATGGGTAGGAACCATAACGCGTATTTCATTAAACAACCAAAAATTGCTAAAATACTAAATGAAACTTTATGGCAATATGGGGCACAGTAATTATAATCGAAAATAAATGTTTAGAAAATTAGGTCGATCAAAAAACATTGTAAACATTCCTTACCATGGCTGTATCCGTTTTGAAGAACATCGGAAGTCGATGGTAAATCAAATAGAAACGCTTTGAAAAGTCAACATTCAGGTGTGAATAAGATGCAATTGGATTGGATTGCGTTGTAAATATCATTAAAAGTCCGCGCAATACACCATCGTATCCGAGATGACGTCTCATGTATTTAGTAAATATTTCATAGCGTGCGCATCCACAATGGGTCGGATTCATATGCGAAGTCTGTAGCCACAGATGGTGAAGTAATGATGTGAAGTGCAGTATTGGGACCACTATAGAAATGACGGTAGAGTAAGATGCTGGGCTTGTATCTGTTTGGAAGTGTCACCTTAATTGACTCGCTCACACATCGGCCTCATGATTTGCCCACGGCTCCTGTGTGTGTGTATGTGTGTGCAGATGTGGTTTCAGCTGCCGGCGTAATTGCTGGTTTATCCAACTGGTACAATGAGTCAGATGTCCAGGCGATTGTTCGAAATCTGTCCGACCTTGGGCATTCTCATCTTTGCATTTCGTCGCCTCATACGCGCTGTAGAATGTCGCAATATATCATTTGTTACGTCTTCAATCCCAAGTATGGATTTGGGAGTAGACCCAGGAGCTTTGCCGGAAGCATGACCGAGGAGGCATGCGAAAGAAACACAACAGTTTTTACAAACGCTCGAGAATGGAGGGCAGTGGATCTGCGCTCTGTTAACCGGAATCAAAACGACATGTATTTTGCGGACACTAAGGTATTCGGCATGCCTTGTCAAATGCATCCAAAAGCTAGTCATTTGTCAGAATTTTTGGAGAAAGGGTAGGCATCCTTCATCAAAAATGAACACATCTAATTTACAAAGTCCACATTCCTTGATGATCGACGACACCAATCTTGTCTGTTTGAAATATGTCTTGAGATAATGCAGACATATCTGCTTTCTTTGTGGGGCATGCGCTTCGAAGTCGTATAGAATGTCCTCGTCCCGAGAAATACGGAAAAGTTGAAATGCCTTTAAGATTTCAACGCTCATAGTGGGATGATATTAACCGTTTCCCACAAAAAGTTTATTAGCAGCTAGGGTGATAATAGCAATGGTTAGCGGGTTTAATATACATACTAGTCCAAACGTAAGCGTAGGGTTAATAATAATAAAAGTTCATTTTATGGTAATAGGCAATGCCCTTTTTGACCCTATTGAAAACAGTACATAAAATATACACGTTAAATGTACATTTTACTAAAACGTTGTCAGTAGCGTATTTGTTTACAGAAAACCTTTTCACAGTGCGGGACTGCGAAGGGCACGGCAGGCGGTCTTTTCAGTGTACATATGAAATTTTAAGTGCAGTTATATACAACCAGCATAAAGTGCAGTCATTTGCATAGTTTGAGAGGAAACATTTCATTTAAAAGTCGGGGATGTGCCAAGTAGGGATGAAATCAAGAAATGAAATTTATGGCTTGCCGCAGAAAGTTCTGTAGAGAGAGTCGTAATTTATCAAAGATCAAACGATCCAGCTGCCTTTTTAATACAGCCCTTTTATAAGATGAAACTAGTTCACTTGGGAGCGAGTTCCACGGTCGAACAACACGCTGACTGAAGGAAAACTCCCGATGGTCTGTGCGTGTACGCTCCCGCTTGACTTCTACGGATGACAGTGCAGGTGAATCGTGGTCGTGAATTCAAAGAAGGCTTCAGTTTTGAGCGAACATTCGTGCCCGTGGATAATGCGGGATGTTCATAACAGGTCACACCTCATTCGCCTCTAGGATAGGGAGAACAAATTTAACTGCATCAGTCTTTCTTGGTAGGATAGAGTCCTTAGACCGTCCACCAGTTTTGTGGCCCGTCGTTGAACCTGATGTACGGCATCATTGGCTTTCTTCATCCAGGGCATCCATGATGGCATTCCGTATTCCCAGTGCGGTCTGACCAACGTGCCGAAAATCTGTGAGAAGAGTTCTGAAGGAAATATTCTGAAGGCACGCCTAATCCAGTGCCTGATGCTGGTAGCCATTTGGAAGACTCTTTTGTAGTGTTGAGAGGGCAGCCAGTTTGAGCATGTCCAGACACCTAGGTCTTTGTGCGTGTCCACCTCTTTTAGTGGAACCCCACTTTTGGTGTACTGATGTTTTTCGAAGCGCCTTCGACCAGATTCTAGTCGCAAGACTACACATTTGGACACGTTGAACGCTAGAAGCCACTTGCTTGACTAAGCAGCCAGCTTATAAACACCTTCTTGTAGTTTCTGCGCGACGCTGACACAGCTGATTGTTTTCCAGATCTTTATATCATCTGCAAACTTGACGCCATCGCATTCAAGGTCCGCAGGACAGTCATTTATATAGGACGATGATCAAGTACTTTCCACAGGGACCTCATGAAAGACACCGCGACACGCCCGGTCGGGTGGAGTATTAGCAATTGGAGTATGTATCAGCAGATCCGATTTTAGATCACTTAAGGACTTCAATGAGACGCAAGATTCTCGAGCAATGAGCGAAAAATGGGTGTATTTGAAAACATTTGCCGACTATGTTGGGTAAGACGAGAGGTAATCCATTGTGACATATAGCCACAGATGGTGAAGTAATGATGTGAAGTCAGTATTGGGACCACTATAGAAATGACGGTAGAGTAAGATGCTGGGCTTGTATCTGTTTGGAAGTGTCACCTTAATTGACTCGCTCACACATCGGCCTCATGATTTGCCCACGGCTCCTGTGTGTGTGTATGTGTGTGCAGATGTGGTTTCAGCTGCCGGCGTAATTGCTGGTTTATCCAACTGGTACAATGAGTCAGATGTCCAGGCGATTGTTCGAAATCTGTCCGACCTTGGGCATTCTCATCTTTGCATTTCGTCGCCTCATACGCGCTGTAGAATGTCGCAATATATCATTTGTTACGTCTTCAATCCCAAGTATGGATTTGGGAGTAGACCCAGGAGCTTTGCCGGAAGCATGACCGAGGAGGCATGCGAAAGAAACACAACAGTTTTTACAAACGCTCGAGAATGGAGGGCAGTGGATCTGCGCTCTGTTAACCGGAATCAAAACGACATGTATTTTGCGGACAAGGTGGACATCGCCGCACTCAGCGAGACCCAATTCTCCGAACAAGGCCAACTGGAGGAGGTGGGTGCCGGCTACGCCTTCTTCTGGAGCGGTCGACCCAGGGCAGAGCGACGTGACGCGGGTGTCGCCTTTGCCATCGGGACCGACATCGTGGGACGACTGCCCTGTCTGCCGCAGGGAATCAACGATCGCCTGATGAGTCTCCGCCTGCCTCTCCGGCGAGGAGGCAAATTCGACACCATCATCAGCGCCTACGCTCCACCGATGAGCAGGCCCGACGCCGTCAGAGACAAATTTTACGAGGACCTGCACGCCCTCTTGGCGACTGTGTCGAAGGCGGACAAGTTGATTGTCCTTTGTGACTTCAACGCCCGCGTCGGCACAGACCATACTGCCTGGAGAGGAATGCTGGGTCCCCACGGTCTCCGCGGCTCAAACGACAATGATCTGCTGCTTCTCCGCACCTGCGCAGAACACCGCCTCATCTTGACAAACACGTTCCTCTGTCTGCCGGAGCGAGAGAAGGCCACCTGGAGGCATCCTCGGTCGCGCCAGTGGCACCTGCTGGACTACGTCCTCGTCCGGAGGCGAGATCAGCGGAACGTGCTGGTGACGAAGGCGATCGCGGGTGCTGACGGGTTGACCGACAATCGCCTCGTCATCTCGAAGATGCGAATTCGCCTACAGCCTCGCAGGAGACCACAAGGTAAGCGACCCCCAGGTAAGCTGAATGTTGCCTTGTTGTCTTTGCACGCTCACCATCTTCATTTCAGCAATGAGCTTGCTCAAAGGCTGGACAACCTTCCTATCGCTGCTGCTGCCGACGCCGCCGCTGCCGAGAAAGCCTCCGTGGCGAACCGCTGGTGCCAACTGCGAGACACGGTTCAGTCAACGGCACTCGCCGTCCTCGGTCGCGCTCCCCGCCAACACCAGGACCGGTTCGACGACAACGACGCCGCCATCAGAAATCTGCTTGCTGAGAAGAACCGCCTACACAAAGCCTACGCAGATCACCCCACTGATGCCACAAAAGCTGCCTTCTACCGCAGTCGCTGCCAACTTCAGCAACGACTGCGCGAGATGCAGGACGCCTGGACTGCCCCCAAAGGCTGAGAAGATCCAAGGGTACGCGGACCGCAACGAATGGAAGAACTTCTTCTCTGCGATCAAAGCTGTCTACGGTCCGCCGACGAAGGGCACTGCTCCTCTCCTCAGCGCCGACGGCAACACTCTCCTGACTGAGAAGACGCAAATCCTGCAGCGATGGGCGGAGCATTTCCAAGGCGTCCTCAACCGCCCCTCCGTCATCTCCGACGCCGCCATCGAGCGTTTGCCGCAAGTGGAGTCCAACGTGGACCTCGACCTTCCGCCATCTCTCCAGGAGACCATCAGGGCCGTGCAGCAGCTCTCCAGCGGGAAAGCACCCGGATCGGACGCAATCCCTGCCGAGGTCTACAAGCAAGGAGGTCCCCAACTGATGGATCACCTGACTGCGCTCTTCCAAGAGATGTGGCGTCCAGGTGAAGTCCCGCAAGATTTCAAAGACGCAACCATCGTGCATCTCTACAAGCGCAAAGGGAATCGCCAAGTCTGCGACAATCACCGTGGCATCTCCCTTCTGAACATCGCCGCGAAGATCTTCGCTCGAATCCTCCTCAACCGTCTCAATAACCATCCCGAACAGGGTCTACTGCCGCAGAGCCAATGCGGCATCCGCCGACATCGTGGGACCACCGATATGATCTTCGCCGCCCGGCAACTTCAGGAGAAGTATCAGGAGATGCGGACCCACCTGTACTCTACCTTCGTGGACCTGACGAAAGCCTTCGACACGGTGAATCGTGAAGCACTGTGGAAGATCATGCAGAAATTCGGCTGTCCGGAGCGATTCACTCAGGTGATGCGTCAGCAGCACGACGGTATGATGGCGCGAGTCACGGACAACGGAGCTGTCTCAGAGGCATTCGCAGTGACCAATGGAGTGAAGCAGAACTTGCGTACTGGCGCCTACCCTCTTCAGTCTTATGTTCTCTGCCGTGCTGATGGACGCCTACCGCGACGAACGCCCCGGAATCCGCATCGCCAACAGGACGGACGGTCACCTGCTGAATCAACGACGGATGCACTTCCAATCGCGCGTATCCAAAACCACCGACCACGAACTTCTCTTTGCCGACGACTGCGACCAGAACACTACCTCGGAAGAGGAGATGCAACGCAGCATGGACCTATTCTCCGCCACCTGCGAGAACTTCGGTCTAGTCATTAACACGCACAAGACGGTGGTAATGCATCAACCGCCACCCAACTCTGCCACAGCCCTCAACGCGCCGCCGCAAATGAGCGTGAACGGAACCCAACAGCAAGTTGTGGAGAACTTCCCGTACCTGGGCAGTACCCTCTCCCGCAACACCAAGATCGATGACGAAGTCGCCAACTGGATCGCAAAATCCAGTCAAGCCTTCGGTCGCCTCTAAAGCACAGTTTGGAATCGTCACGGACTTCAACTAAGTACGAAGCTGAAGATGTACAAGGTCGTCATCCTGCCAACGCTACTGTATGGAGCGGAGACTTGGACGGTGTATACAAAGCAGGCACGCCGTCTGAACCACTTCCACCTCAGTTGTCTTCGTCGCATCCTGAGGCTGAACTGGCAGGATCAAATCCTCGACACTGATGTGATGGAACGGACGGGAATACTCAGCGTCTACGCCATACTGAGGCAAATGCGGCTATGCTGCAGCGGCCAACTGGTGCGCATGGACGACGAGCGACTACCGAAACGGATCTTCTACGGGGACGTCGCGACGGGTTCTCGTCGTAAAGGAGGCCAGATTCGCCGTTACAAGGATACCTTGAAGTCCTCCTTGAAACGCCTGCAAATCAACAAGTCCAACTGGGGAGAGCTCGCACTCGATCGACCGACCTGGAGCCGGACAGTGAAGACAGGCGTTGCGATCTACGAAGACAATCGCATCACTGCCGCCAAAGTGAAACGCGATGCCCGTAAATCCCAACTTTGCCCAGTACGCAACGCCGCCGCACAACCGCTTCCAACGTGTCCTCGATGTCAACGGACATTCCGGGCTCGAATCGGACTTGTTGGACATCTTCGGATTAACTGCGCCTCTCGAACTGCACCAACCATCGTTCCCCCGCCCGCCTCTTCCTCCCCCTCTCCGCCGCCAACTAACTCTGTCAATTCTTCTGACCCACCACTTCCATCCTTCTCATCCTCCCCCACGTCCTCATCCTCCTCCGCCTCCTCCTTCTCGCCCACTTCTCCAACGACGGCCGCTTAGGCGACTGTCACGCGCAAAACAACCGACGATACCACCACCTCTCCGACTCCAGTGATGAGGATCAGGACTACACCTGCCCTCACTGCGACCGCGCCTTCACCTCACACATTGGCCTGGTCGGTCTCTTGCGAATCCATCGCACAGAGACTGGCGAACCAGTGCCTGGAGTGTCAGCCTACACCCACCATGCTCGCCTCCACTGCCCACACTGCCCTCGCACATTTAGGCATCGCATGGGCCTATTCGGCCACATGCGCATCCACGAGAGCGGACTTGACCGCACTCCCGACACACCCACCCCATCCAACACATCCGTCGTGCTCACCCCCACCCTCGCTCCATTCTTCTGCGCCACCACCACCACCGCCTCCTCTGTCGCTGACACTGACACCGCCGACTTCTCATGCCCACACTGCCCTCGCACTTTCAGGCATCGCATGGGCCTATTCGGCCACATGCGCATCTTCGATGACCTGCGGTAGACAACCGCCGGCCACACCACACATTCACTCACTCCCTACCTCCTCCACTACCACCACCACCATCACCCCACCACACGTCAACACTCCCACACCTGATGCACCCACCTGCCACCTCCCACGCCAATGGGACGAATGCATCTCGACTCGGTCCTCATGCGGCTTCGGCTGCAGTGGTGACTTGAGTCCGAGACTATCCTAACAAGTCAAGCGTCGTGGATAGAAAGGCTGCTGATTGGCGCCCGCTCTCGGTTCACGCAGTTCGTCGCGTTGTGTGTGTGTGTGTTGTGTGTAGTGGCGGACTGGTGGGCTGGGCGGCGGGCTGAAACAGCACCTTCCACGGCCCTCTCTCGCAAGGGAGAGACACGCCGTTCAACCCCCGTTGTGTGAAATCCTGGTGTTTGTGTATATGGGGGGGGGGGGGCAGGTCGTGCTGTAGCGCGCGCAGGCATGGTCAGTCGACCGTGTCAGCCACCGCGCCCATCTCCCACTCCTGTCTGCTGACCGGCTGGGGATGGGAAGGGAGAGTGAAGTCGACGACTCAGCGCATTTTCCTCACTATAAACAATCTGACGCGCTTGAAGCTATCACGGTGGGCTAAAAGCCGTGGCTTGGATGGTTGCCAACTTACGGGGTAACTTGGACCTCCTCCTTGACTGGAGGCGGTCTGAGAGTCAGGCTGCAATAGCTTCATTTTAATGTGGCCTTTATGGCACTCCCATCACAGTGTGGGATCCGAGCCAGGCGTTGGCGGCACGCCTGCGTTTCGGCTTCGGCCGTGCCAACCTCCAAATCTCAGTTGCTTTGGTTGAAATACTGGTTATTTGTTGTGTGAACCAGGGGTGTGGTGGAACGCCAAGATGAGGATCCGTCCGAGCCATCCACCTGCGGCCTCCCTCGTCTCCGGTGGTCTTGACTCTGTCTGTACACCGGGCTCGGGCGAGGGGGGAGAGAGTGTATGTAGATGCAGCGCAAGTCTACTGGCACTATAAACCCCTGCGTAAGTCATCTTCCCTGCTTTCACCTGCTGTGGGGCACACGGTGGACTTCATCGAAATCGATGGTCGAACTGTCGTGTGTTTGTGTGTGTACGTGTGTGTGTGGGGTGTAGGGGTGCCGGCGGTGGGTTCACGTGATGGTCGCAGTGGTCGCTCACTTGCTTGCAGGTGAGACTACGCCTAGCGTCCACTTGCTGGCACTCAACTCTCACTTGTGGCTCCACGTAGCTGGGCTCTGCTCAGCGGCCACACCCAGGGCAACCGTCTCGACCGGCGGGCTAAACCAGGTGAGGGTATCCGTGCATGCACCTGCACGCGCGGTGCTGTGGCCTGCCCTGACCGGATGGGTCTTCGCGTAGACATCGCCGGGACGACGCTCTGCCTGAACCATCGCAAAAGGCCACCAGGTAAGTTCTTCCTTAGATAAGTCAAGTTGCTTTGTTTTTTGCTTTTGTCTGTTGAAGTTCCGTGTCGTATGCTGCTCTTGCTGCCTGCCCACTATATATTAGTCTGTCTGTTTATAGCTAAATGAAACTCTCGATGCCTGCTGCGACTGTCTGTCTGTTAGTCCATGCCTCTCTCCTCTAATAGCTAGGAGTTACGGTGCTTGACACTCGAATGGTGCCCTCTCACTTCTGTCTCTGACTAATGACTGTGTCTGCTTGTCCACTCTAGTTCTAAGCCCCATAGCTTTTGGTTGTGTGTATGCTCTCTCCTACTTCACTCCATCACATCACCATCACCACAAAGGTCACAGGCTAATTCGGGTCGTTCTCTCACTAACAAAAAGTCGTGGCCCATAGTGGAGTCCGGCAGCCGTCTGGGATAACCGGGCAGCCCTGTTCAGGGATGCGTTGCCTGCCCTCGCGAGGGGGGGGGCTAGAAAAGGTGCCCTGAAGATCGCTGGGAACCACGCTGTCGGTAGGCTGACCGTGGCCGCAGACAAAAAACACACGGTCGAAACAGCCGAAACAGAAACAACAAAAACAATCACTCTCTTCTTCTTCTTCTCCCTCTCGTACTTTTCGCCGCCGTAGTCGCCAGACTGGCAGAAATGTTGTTTTTTTAGGAATTGAAAGCGACTTCTTGAATCTATTACCTAAGCACATTACTCACAAGGACCTCCATGGGATTCCATTTTTATAAATGAATGCCTTTTGAAACTACCGTATGCCATCATTTGCTTGCAGCCTGCAGCCTCGAAAAACCCTTGATTTCGACTCCAAAATTCCGTGGACAGAATTACGATGTTTGATCGCCCACTAACAAGAAAGACTTAATTGCTTAACATAGTCAGTCTGCGGCATTTCATAAATAAAACCTCATGTAAATAGTCAATTGGCAATATAATTTTCCGGTAGTAGATTACGAGGCACTTAAGCTTTCATGTATATTGAGTATTCGATATATTGACAAGGTTTATACTCTTTTAGATTTGCGAAAATGCCCATTGTAAAATTCAAAAGGCAATTCGGCGGGCATACGTCTGTTTTCGATAAATTCTTTTCAGGGCTGTTAGTTAGAAGTCCACGCCCCTAACCACTGGACCACGAGCCGGTTGCCTTGTCGGTTTCAGCGTGGACTTCTAAATAACTGGTCCCGAGCTCGATCCTCGGGTGTTCCACACTTCGGGCTTGGGTATGTCTGGCTGACGACGGCAATAAGTCAGAAATGGCCATTCCAGTCTCCCTTGTCTTTGTCGGTAATGCCATTCTGCCTATATGATGCGCCGCTGTGCGGCTGCTGGTTGGGCTCGAGAGAGAGCCCGTAAGGCACAATGGAACGAGTGAGTTCCGTAAGAACGGTCGGTGAACGTTCCCTACCATTTCTGGCTTAAGCCATTTGCAGGGACAGTCATGCAGAAGTGACATGTTGTGAACATCACTGATACCGTGGATTTCATTGGGGCCCCTCCGCTCCACCTGCCGAAAGATTAGTCAGTTTAGTGCCCCTATCTTTACAACTAGCACAACCATATTCACATTCCGTGATCGATGTCATGGAATATTATGCAAAGCTTAAAAATGCGTTTTCGATTACGGAAGATTACATAAGTCGACCAATCCCACAGCTTAATGGCAAGATATTTCAAATCCATCGGGATGCGATCTTTCTGATCGCAGTTCAATTCGGCCGCCTCCAAAACCGCTATCAATGTAAAGCGGTTGTTTGCAATGCAGTAGGTTGACTAAATTGTGAAATGCTGAACGGAATCAGGAAAGGTGTTTTCGTTTGAAAAATATTACTTAAGTACCATTGTAAAACTAACCATGACACAGTATAATTTCAAAAAACGCACTTTCTTTAGAATACCGGCTTTCAAACGATCTTCTTTGCCACTGCATGCAAAAACTGTACTCTGTTTGCAATGAATTCTTATGTAGCACCCTATCTTCTCATTAATTTTAATTCCTTAAAAATGCATTCATTCATTCGTTTATTCGGTAGAAAATTACTCTTCAGCAAATTTTATACTCCGCGCAAGGCTATAATTCTGCTTTAAAAGAAGGTTGCAACCGTGATTTTATTTAATACCGCGCAAAAGCCGTTGACAAAACCTTATGTCTCAACATTTACCAATGTGGATTGTAAAATTAACAATTTGACTCAAATCCATTGTCAAATCTAGTGAATCTCATATTGCCTATTTTTAATACCGCAGAGAAATGTATGTTTTGCGCACGCGGAAAATATACGGCTTGCAGTTTGCAAACCCTAAATGCAAGCGTAAATGCACGTTGGACTTAAAATTATTTGGAATTTGGAAATGATTTTCGAAACCGAATAATACCCATTTTCGATTATCAAATTGGAAAAAGACGTAATTCTCTAAGCAATGAACCGAAGGTTAAATAGTCTTATGAATATTTTCCATGAACAATAATGGAAATTTTAAGGGCAACAAAATCAGTGAGAAAAATCCATGCTATATAAACAGTCGCTTTCTACAGAGTTTAATTTTACATGCCGGAGGAAAGAAGTTTTTTCGATAGCCGGCATCCTGAAGTAATGAAATTATTATAGAATTATGCTGCATTATGGTGAGTTCTACAACACAACCTAAGTAATCTTTTCGAATCGAACACGCATTTCGGAATTCTGTTTTATATTTCATGAGTTGACCCACCGACTGTGACTTGAAAACGATTTCTAAAAGTTATAATCATTACGGGCGTAGTCTATAAGATAAGAATACTGATAACATGCGTCTCGAAATTACTCCACATTCTACCACATGAGCGTATCCAGATAACTGAATATCACCATTTAGACGTGACCTGCAGAATTGCGAAAGACATTGCTTTCCAGGCTACATGTCTCTAGTTCATAACTTTAAAACTCTATTTTCGAACCCATCTCCATTTTTCCGGGCACGGAATTACCGCCTTAGAAAGCGGACAGTCAAAAAGAGCCAGGTGCTTAGCAATGTAAAGCCAAGGCACTTCAGGAAGCAGATCTAGTTTTAACAGTCGACTGAAAAACATACGTACGTTTTCGGTATTCCATCGTTTCCATGCGAGCA